TCGCAGAAGTACCATAACAATTTGAAAAATTTCTTATTTCTTTATCAATATTGATGAAAATTTGTGAGTTTATTAGTATTTTCGTGCTTGTTTCATATATGCAATTATTCTTCTGGTATAATGTATATTTTATATAATGCACAATATATCATGAGCCTTTTGGTGAGCTAGTTCTCTCTTAAACTTACAAATATACAAAGCAAATTAGCACATCACATTTATCTGGAATCATTGCTGATTGTAGTGCAACAAAAATGGATGCTCTAAAGCCTTTAGAAGAAAACTTATGATATGTTGAACATTTGCCAGTGAAAACCCAGCTTGAAATTGACTCCCTCACAAATGTGCATCGTACCATAACTTCCGTTCAAATTGATTTAGAATATCTATTTTTGATGCACTGCAATCAGCTTTGATTCCAGATTATCGTCGTATACAAATTTACTTTGAAGCTTTTTCATTTTCACAAAAATCTTGATCCCCATAAGGCACATGAAATGTATTGTATTTTAAAGATACAAGAAAAACAATCGCATATTTGAAATCAGCATACAGGTATAAATAAACTCACCAAGTTTCATCAAAATCAGTAAATAAATAAAAAACCTTTAAGAGTAGTGTCTCTCCTCAATTATGTAGGTAGCATCGACATGTAAAACAATGAAATTAAGACATTTTTGTATTAGTCCTCTTTGAAGCAAAGGAAGCAGCAGTAAAAAGTGAGACTTGAAAGGCACAGGCACACAAAATAGCCACAACTCTCCACAACAGATAACTTATACATTTTTTTATTTGTGATTAATCTTGCAAAGAACACTGCAGATCTTGCGGTGCTTAAACATTTGCTAGCAATTGGTCATGGTGCTTTGCACATAATGCAAGAAAACTGCAACTGCATCACTCTGATGTCATAAGTTGATAAGACTTCCTGCAATAATTTGGGTTTATAGGTGTACTACAAGCATAAAATAAATATTTCTGCTCTTACTGGTACTGCATTATGCACAGTACTTGAGGATCGAATGGGAAAATTTAAGGCTATGTGAGACACATACTTTCGTTTCCACCATTTTTAGTGTGAGTTATATCGGCATGATTTCAACTCAATGCCTAGGTATGAGCAAACATTATGTTAAGAAACCACATTCACTGCTACATGCTGAGGTTATCTCAAGCAATTGTGCATACCAGTCATTATACTAAAAAATTGGATGACGTGTTTGAATATGCGAGTACTGTATATGCTATAATACTACCATGTACTCTACACATCGCATAAGACTAAACAATAAAATAGTGTTGCACTGATTACGATGCCTAAATGCTGAGATTCAGGCTTCCCTATTTTCAATACACAAAACAGCCTTGCCATTACATCATCCCGCAATGTTGACATGAATGCATTTTTTCTAAATTTATAGTTTCATAGGTTTTCACTATTTTTCCAGCCGTTTTTCTCTGTGATCTTTTATTTGGTGTACTACTAAGTTGTGTTTTGCCTTCTTACTATCCTATTCCATAAACACAAATAGTATTTTATACTTTCTTGCAGCCTGTATTATTTTCACTTGGTTCTATTGTGTTCCAAATAGAAATTTTAGTACTGCCTTTTTCTTTTGTCTTTCCACATATGCTTGCCAAAATTATGCATCTTGGCTTATTCTAATTAGTGATTATGTGAATCGTCATCGTGTTGCTTCATAAGGCTTGAAAGCCTAGTCAAGCTCTGTTAAGCTTTTTTTTTTCTTTTCATGCCCTACACTTAAAGTAAAAATGATGTGATTGATTGCTTGACTTTGATGAGCTTTCATCTTTTGCATTACCAGCTATGGTTGGAAACATTTTGGCACATACACAATAGACGAAAAAACTAAAGATGAGAAGACAAACAGGTGCGAACTCGGTTGTGAGTTTTTTAAACATCCCAAAACCTTGCTATGATTACGAGGAATGCTGTAGTGGAGGACTCCAGAGATTTTTGACCCCCTGTGCTCCTTTAACGTGCATTTAAATTTAAGTACAGAAGCCAGCATTTTCGCCTCCATTGAAAATGTGGCCGCTGTGGCAGGGATTCGATCCCATGATCTTTGGGTCAGCAGTCAAGCACCACAGCCACTAGACCACCATGACTGTAACAGTATGGAAAGTTGGGCAAGTTGGTTTGAGGAAATTCTTGCAAACATTTCGGCACGCACACAATAGAAGAAAAATCAAAAAGCAAGAAGGCAAACAGGTGCGAACTCAGTTGTGAGTTCGTGCCTGCTTGCATACCTGCGAAGTTCAAGGATTCTGAATCTGGAAGATTTCCACATTGAGGGGGAGGGGGGGGAATTGACGCACACGATTATATTCCCTTCTTTAGCACCAAAAAAAAAACAAAAAAGACATCACGCAAAAACAAGAAGGGTGGGGGTCCTAATCGCAAGTGCCAACAGCGGCGTTGCGGTCTTATATGGCTTGGAGTGATGGAACACACGAGATAGGTTTCCCATCAAGACGAGAGTCTTAAAAGGAAGCGCAAATACTCCCGAAATTTCGCGTCATCAAAACAACCAGCAAAATTTAATACCGGCAAAACAACTTACGTACGTTTTCCTGGGATACACGTGAACAGACGAGACGGCGAAGCTGGCTGCCGCGAAAGCGCATGTCAGAGCTTTGGCTTTACTCGATAATAGATTCTTTGGACAGATACACCAAAACGCTTTTTTTATGTATTTACTGCCTTTAATATACCGCTGCGTTAGCCACGTGCCTTTGGAGCTCGTAGATTGCTATCATGCCACCGCGGTTCTGTGCGTGGCAGTTGCAGGAAACTGTAGTTACATTTTCAATCCACGAGCGTTGGCTGAGCATGTGCCTTCATAGTCATTTTATGCTATCTATGATCACATCTGCCACGGTATTGTCCACAGAGTTTGCGGAAAGAAGAGTTGCTTTGACTGGTCGATCCTTGGACGCACGCACACTTCCAGAATACTGTCAGTAACGTCGTCGCCATACATGGTCGTGCAAAGAACGACCGCAGTTTCATCCACAGTGATTGCAGCAACAGCAACATGCACTGTAGAAGACAATGTTTGCCCCGTCCACATGCGTGTTTCTGAAGCTTTGAGCACGCTGCTCTTGTTCTGCCTTCGTTCTATGGTTTCAGTAGAGAAAGTCACATCACACGCCGCGTTTTGGAAAAGGGTTCAGAACATTCGAATTTTGGCCCAATAGACACAGTGGAATTTTGCGGGGGAATTTCACGAATTCATATCTGCCACAGTTTCGCATCACTGAGACTACTGCACATTTAGATGAATGCCCCCTACATTCGTTTACAGTAGCATGCAGTGGGTTCGCAAAAAGCCTGGAAAGGACTGACCTGCTTGTTTATCAATGCAGCCAGATAACGCACAAAAATTTCGATTTCCGGGAGATTTTCATGACAAACGTACAAACCGAAGAAACGGTTAAAATCCGTGAGTGAGACTTGGCAGGTATGTGTTTGTCTCCTCGCTTTTCGTTGTTTCATACATACAATTTCTTACCACCTTCCAACAACACTGAACAAACACAATTTAACAATTTTTGATTGATGATTGATTGATTGATATGTGGGGTTTAATGTGCCAAAACCACCATATGATAATGAGAAACGCTGTAGTAAAGAGCTTCGGAAATTTCGGCCACCTGGGGTTCTTTCACGTTGATTTAGCATCGTGCAACCTTCACAACCGTAACTTAATCATCACTGACCTTGGCTACCCACACAGAATCTATTCTAAGTACAGATGCAAGAAGAGCATTTTTTTTACATGGTGTCGTGTGCTGTCCGTGCAGATCTACGCAAAATAAACTTAAAAGCAAAGCAACGTAAAATTAAACTTAATTAATGGAATCCTAATATTAAGATGAGAGCAGATAAATCAGAGCACAGTGTGCAATCAAAGTTGTTTCAATGGGGGGTAAGATGTCAAAGGCTCGCTGGCCGATGTTTCCATATGTGGGCCTGCTATTGTAAAAAGGCGCATCATTATCACTGGCAACACCACGTGATGTCAGCCCACGTGACTCGCCAAGGATGATGAGGCACCTTTGACAAATGATTGATATGTGGGGTTTAACGTCCCAAAACCACCAAATGATTATGAGAGACGTCATAGTGGAGGGCTCCGGAAATTTCGACCACCTGGGGTTCTTTAACGTACGCCCAAACTGAGCACAAGGGCTTACAGCATTTCCACCTCCATCGAAAATGCAGCTGCCGCAGCCGGGATTCAATCCTGAGACCTGCGGGTCAGCAGCCGAGTACCATAGCCACTAAACCACCGCAGCGGGACAATTTAACAATTTTTAAACTAAGGCATTTGTCAAAGAATGCATTACAGCAAATGTTTTTTATGCTGTTTTTTTCTTCCCCCACAGCCTTTTTACTTTTGCATTAGCTTTTTCAAATGACAAAATTTTTGCATTTGTTTTGTTTTGTGTGTGTGTGTGTGTGTGTGTGTGTGTGTGTGTGTGTGTGTGTGTGTGTGTGTGTGTGTGTGTGTGTGTGTGTGCGTGCGTGCGCGCGCGTGTGCGTGTGCGTGTGCGTGTGTGTGTGTGTGTGTGTGTGTGTGTGTGTGTGTGTGTGCGCGCGCGCGCGCATGTGTGGAAAGCTATAACTATTTCACGCCGTCACTTTGGTTTAAAAATTAGCGGGAGATAGGACTAGTCAACCTGCTGTTATGGGAGATTTTATACTGCTGTCCTGACTAATCATTTATACCTATGCAGTTGTATGGTAAAACAAACTTACATTTTTTTCAAAATATGATGCTTAGCTTCCACTTATAAAGCATGTAAGCAATCTTGCACAGATGAACTCTATCAACCCACTCTGCATGCAAGAGCATATGTTTGAAAGAGATCGAAAAATAAATAAACAGTTCTATTATATAGCAAGATAAATGCTGCCAGAAGTAAAGGAGAAAGTCTGTTAGAATTGAACATAAAATACAAAAATGACATACCCGACGAGGTTCCCAGTTTTCTATGCCAAGGTCCACATTGTACACAAAGCTCCCAGATCGTACTTCACATGAAAATCAAATTAAATAAATACTTATGTTAGTGAGGAAAGTATGGTAGACACTCATCAAAGTATTTATGACACGGAGGTGATACAATCATCTGCTGCGACAATTATGTGGATCAAATTACTGCATCAGTGTGCACTTTGTTCTACAGAAACTCTCATTAGAGAGTCATATGGGGCAACAAAGAACGGCTAAAATTTCACTGCTAAGCAAAGCAGCAAAAGGCATGTGATATCCCGTGCTGCCAGCATTATGTCAGTTCCACCCACTGAGGACAATGCACTTCAGAAGGGAAATTTCTCTATTTACACCAGCAAGTGCGGAAACCTGAACACTGCAAGGCAGGTGAGGAGGTAGTACACAGTTTTGGTATGTTGCACAATCAATGGCACTATAGCCGGGGACAATTTAAGAAGGCCGGAGAGGTCCTGATCATCCACTCGGCAATACTCCCTGAGGCAGAGTGGGTTTACTCGGCGTCCAGCTTACAATTTGAGTCAGGTTTTTTTTTCTTTTTTTACTTGCACCTTTAGTTTTTTCTTGTTGCGCTTTTTCATGTTTCACTATTGTAACTGTAAGCATTTTATGTAATATATTTTTTTTTCTAAAATATTCTGTTCACTAGCTGTGTCAGTTATTACCCTCTATAAATGTATAGTTAACCAAGGGTCCCACTACAGTTTTTTTTTTCATTTTGAGACCCTCACCTGTATACTTGTTGATCTTGTAACTTTTTTGAAAGCAATAAACAGAAACTGCGGAGTGCGCACTCACAGTGCAGGCTTGTGCACATCTGCCTTTGAAGAGAAAATTCCTGAGACTATTGAAGTCGCACCTGACTATATAGGCATGTATGAATTTTTTAGGGGCAAAGCTCCTCTTAGTCTAACCTTGCCATGCGTCATGCGTAACCAAGAGAAGAAGAGACAAGAAAGAAAGGAAGGCAGTTTCTCCCGAACAGTACAATAGACGGCGCTCTTTTATAGAATAACATAGAAACTGCAGTTGAGTGAGGATATTCTAGATGGCGTTGTACCGCTACTCTCCGATTGGCTGCAGCACTGTGCAGGGAATGACAGCACTTGAAAATTGTTCCCAACCTATCTGTGAAGTGATGTAAAATTTACTGTACCAAAAAAAATAATTTCTGAGTACTTGTATTAATATTTTGAAACAGCATGAAAATTCAACTGCATCCTTTTAAAAGTCTGAAAACATTTTATCAACTTATAATTTTATTTCTCAGTAAAGTACCAAGATATAAACTGTATTGTGATGCTTGAGGTCACCATCAGTTATCTACAAAATTGGTTCCAGCTGATTAAATATGTTGGTCACTGTCCATAGAATTATTATGAGTTGAATATTATTGTAGCTGATAATAGTTAAGCTATCCATAGGGAAGTATACCCCAACCACTATGCCATGCAAGGATAAAGGGTGCATTCAGATTTCTTCATAAATACCATCAATCTGTATTGTTGTTTTTTTCTTTTACCATCTCCCTCGTAAACTTTCCGGGTTGCAATTGCTAGTATGAGGCCAGAGAATGAATCATCTTCGAGATGTGCATTACTGGAATCATTTATGAGATTCTGTTGAAAGCTGTGGCAAAGAATGCATCAGCCAAATGGTTCAATGCCTTGGCGAGAGCCTCAAGGAATAATCCTCGTCCTTGAAGATGGATGGTGCACAACTACTGTCAGCAAATCAAAAGACTGCCAGGCGAGGGAGGACGTTAAGGATGGTTATGCTGCTTGTATGAAACATATTTGGATAAACTTCAGCTAAGTCACAACCGACCCCTTTAATTTTTTTAGAAAGTTTACTTTTTTTTATGCCCAACAATAAGTCATCAATCTCAACATATGGACACAACTTTGGTTACGCTAATCTCAACTGACACAAGATCAACGTAGAGTTGCAGAGTGCCTCATGCTCCATTACTGGCTATAACCCTTGATGCATAGCAAGCCACAGTGAACTTGTATGAAACATACAGAACCAGAACTGCATGAAAACAATGCGAAGCTATGAATCTAAATGATACCTCTCTGCTGATAGTTGCTACATGGCAAACGGCTTGACGACAGCTCTCCTATTCTTTTAACAATTCATAAATACTAGGGTTTTACATGCCAAAACCATATGATATGAATATGAGGCATGGTGTAGTAGAGTAGTCTGGATTAATTTAAATTATGACCAGTTGAGGGTCTTTACCACGCATTTAAATGCAAGTACAAAGGTGTTCTTGCATTTTGCCTCCGTCAAGAGGCAACGCCCATGGCCAGTAAATGAACCTGCTTCTTCAAGCTTCGCAATGTGACACGTTACTTGGTAAGCTACAACTACAGGTCAAGTCTAACACTGCTTTTTTTAATGGTCCTTTAAAGGATACAAATCAGAAGCTCACAATGCATAACTACTAGCAAGATATTTCGCTGAATCTTCGCTAGCAGTGTGACATCTCACTATGATCATTTATTTTGCATTTGCTTCTTCCGTTTACTTGCCAGTTGCATCTGAAATATTTCACTGTTGCTTATAATTTGGTTTTGCTTGTTCTGCAATTGTCTGAATAAATTGCACGGCTCGACTTACAGCTTACTCAAGGCACTTTTAGATAATTGAACAAAAGTCAATAAAATAAATCAGTGAATGCTTAGCAGAAAGTAAAATTAAGATTCCGCTAAGCGTACACAAGTTACTGAGACTCCACCCTAAACTACGTAGTCTAAATGTGCAAATGGTACCTCAGTGCTACAATTTATTTATTCTCTCATTTTTAAACAACATAGCTAGATACTGACCTTGGGGTTGTGGCCAACTGTGCAGTTGAACATAAAATTGGTCCTTGAAAGCACGGTCTACTATGTAACCAAGAAGGAAACTGCCAGTTCGCCAAAAAGCCTGGAACAAAGCAAAGCAGAATTTTATAATAGTCTAATTTCTTGTGCTTCTGCAATTTTAACCTGTCCATAATGACCAGGTGGACAGCAAAGCTAGTAACAATATGGATAACAGAAGGGCGAGATGTAAAACATTCACAATGCAAACGAGCAGAGCAGGATGAAAAAGCCAGTGCTGGCTACACCTTGTTTGCAAAGTAGGGGTTGGGATCTTTGTAGAAATTTAGTCTAAGCTGGCAATCCTGTAAAAGTGGTCTACTCATATCCCATGGTTCTCCATCGACCTCTGCAATGGCTGCTCTCTGCACCAGGCTTTCATGTATGTCTGCAACATTCCAAACATGAATGCATAATTAGCACTCACTCACTACCTTGAGTGGATACAGGGAGAGATGCCAGAACAGCACATGAAAATATGCAAAATATTTTATACTATACTGTTGGGCCTTTTACTAATTTTATCCAAATATAAGCAAATGTCAAAGTGCACACTCGGAAATTTCTAGTGAACCAACGCTTATAAAGGCACCACATCTTCTAAACTGTACTCACGTCTAGCACAGTCATGTGGTGTAGAGATTCCTTTGTTCATAATCAGGGTGCAATCCTCCATCGGACCCAAGTATTGCACTTCAATTTTATCCACACGCGTGATGAGCGCTGCTTGGCGTTCCTTCTCAGCTGTGAACAAAGCGTCCCGCTTCTTCCTGAGTGCCTCATTTGTGAGCCGCAATTCATTGGGGGCAACTGAAGAGGAACAAACTAGACAAACCAAAAGAAAACGAGCATAAGAGCCACACATCATAGACCACCTCAATAAACAAAATATAACGATTTGTGCCAGGTAAAATACTACAAAAACAGCAAAGCGAGACGTGGTCAGAAGGTAGTGGTGGGTTAATTGTAGCTCATCTTTTCAATGACAGCACTACATTTGATACAAACAAGATACAAGTAACAACAATATAACAGGTAGGCACCACAAGGGCGCAGATGGTTTGTGCTATTTCTGCACTGTCTCTGAAAGGAACAAACTACACAAACCAAAAGAAAACGAGCATAAGAGCCACACGTTACAGAACACCTCAATAAAAAATATATAACAATTTGTGTCAGGTGAAATACTACAAAACAGCAAAGCGGGGCCGCAAGTGCTGTCATGATAAGCTAAAAAAAAGCTTTCAACCTCAGTGCATTGTCCGGTAGATGTGACAATTTTAACGGTACTGTCTGCGCCAGTTTTAGCGCAAATAACTTCTTGAACTAAAACATGACATTTATCATACTGGAATTTTGAAGAAACCACCAACCCTTACTTAGAAGTTATGTGATGATCGACGGCGAAGCGCAACTAAGTGCCCGTTATAAGGAGAGGGCATTTTACTTGGGCTGGAATATTTGCTTTCGTTAGATGCTTGACAAGGAGGCGCGTCGACACCGCACCCTAAACGCCGGGTTTAACAAATCGCTTTTCTTTTTCTTGTCGGCAACAGTACAAAAATATGATTGCATGCAAGAAGTTACTATTCATATGAGACAAAATAAGAGAAGTAACTGATGACTTTATTAAAGTGCATGCGTCGAACGAGCCTCTGCAAAAGCCTTTCCGTCATCTCGACATGGTAATCGCTTCTACTTATGTTAGGTCTGGTACGAGGTATAACCTTTTAAACAAGGGACGCAAATTAAAACACGCACAGACGAATCAGACGGAATCTACCTTAAGCACTTGCCCCGTCTCATTTGTGTTTAATTATGTTAGCTTGTGCCTACCCTTTCATCGCTGCTACACGTGCAGACAGCCTCACTGAACGCAACTTAAGCCGCGCTATCATATGTAGAGTGAATGCACATTACTCACAAGATCTATGCCTTGAACACACCCCTCTCAAAAGAAATATTACGCGATTTGCCGAATTTAATGACATCGTGACGACTTAGCCCAGAGTTTTGGCTACACAAGCATAGCAGAAACGCGCACACCATAGAGAAAGAACCTTTTTTATTTCTCTATGCGCACACCGCAACGAGCCGAAAACCGGTGATGTTCATTACAACGTGCAACCTGCATAGTATTCAACGCCCTCAATGCCAAAAAAAAAAAAAATTCAAGCCTTCTGTGTGCTATTATATAATAAAATAGTGTGCCTAAACATTAATTTTGTTGGTAATTAAGTAAAATGTTATTGGGGCTATGACTGTCAAAATAAGATAGGTCAATCGCGCACAAAAACGCAGCGTAATTTGAGTTTCGGTTTCTGTTAAAAATTTACAATTATGATGTTTTTATTGTCATCATCGTTCCGACATTCTACTTGGCGGCAGATTGGCTGCTGTTTGCAGAGTTGTAATAAGCTATTTGTAGCTTTTTGCTGCTACTAAGAACGGCATGTCAGCCACTGTGTGCACGTCGGTAAAAACCATGGGTAAAAAGTAAAAACACGGATACAGTGGCTAGAAGGAAAAGTGTGATCAGGGAGCCGTCGCCTGCGTGCGCCGCGGTGATTCACGGCCTAGGTGGCGCTCGCACCCGCTTTCACGTCGGCGCACTGCTGGCGTAGCCGTGGTAGCCGTGGGTTTTTATGAATTTTGCGTTAGCATCATTAGTTTTTACTTGCGCTGGCACTTTCCACAAGTAACTAACGCATTTGTAGTTGAGTCGTTGGGTAAAAGAAGTCGCTGATTGCCTAAACAATTTTGTCTTTCCCCTCTTTTTTTTTTTGTGCACCCAGTGTAACACAAACCTCCAGACTCCCGTGTCCTTTTCTTTATGGCATGCACTGCGACTAACATGTATAGCGACACTGCAAAAGTTACCTTCTTACTACTTGCCAAACTTGTTAATTTTGGCGCAAAGCTAAAAACACGAAAAAAAAAGACAGAGGAGCATACATGTTTAGCAAACTCAGGCACCAACTCGCCCAAGAACAAGTTCTTGAGTTCCTTACTATTTCTTTGCAATTTCATTATAACATGTTTGCTCCCTAAAGCGTTTTTAAATATGAATGCAAATTAACCAGCCTACTATCCATCTTGACGTGAGCCTTTATTTTTGCCACAATTAATATGGTGAAACAACGCCAACATTAAACATTCGCCAAATGTTTATTAGCTCAACTCGTGTTCCAAATAAGGAATTATTAGAAAAAAGCGATAAAAAAACTCAGACTGTTCTGTCTCTTCTGGCCTCCTCTCACGTCGTTCGTCGAAGCTTCAAGTGCTTCCTCTTTTCTCTTGTTGACGTCCTCTCCTTGTTAAGTGACTTAGTGTAAAAATAAAGTCTTGTCATGATAAAGAACTTGACTAGGTTGCTGGTCAAATCCTTCTTGTGTGTCTCACAACCTACTTGCGGCACATTTAGCAAGTGGTGCACCATTTCTGAGAGGCTGTCCTTGTGAAGCTTATTCCAACTAAACCATAATGTGAAGGTGTCCTCCAAGGCTTCAATAAACGAAAACAGTTCTCTTGAAGGGTAGAGCAGCCCGCCTCGATCACAGAATGATGTAAAAGATGAAATACCCTTGTCTGCTTGCTCCGCTGATGTCAGCAGTAACTGGAAGCAATCTTGGCACATTGTTGTCAGGACCTTGCGACTAGCGACATATCCAGCCAAGTAGTAGACCAACCTTGCATCACTGGTCTGCTGCGGATAGATGTGGTCCGTCACTTCTGAAGATGCATCAAGTACACTTGATGCATCTTCCAATTTGCCGGCATCTATTAAATTGTCCACATTACTCGCTACCTCATTTGGTCCGACCAATGATACGAGTGTGCCGCCTGCTGTGTTTACGGAGTCGGGAGGTTTCACCAAGTTATAGAAAGCGAGGCAGTTCACAGTTGTTAGGAACTGTGCTGACGTCGGGTGATCGTTGCACCCCGAGAACTGCCTTATTACCCCAAAAAGCTTCTCCAGCGGGTCTTGGCTGAGACGGGATGTCAAGAGGTACTTGAAGCCTACCTGCTTTGCCAGGTATTCCAGTAGCTCCAACGTAGCCTTCAAGCTTACACGCAGCCCTTCTGCTGTGCCAGGTGAAAGAAAACCTCCCTTGGATGGTTCTGTGCATGCTTCCCACTTGTTTATGTACTCTAAGGTGTCATTCAACAGCTGTGCTTCCTTTGAATTGGGTTTCAGGGCACCTGATGGCACTCTTGACGTCATCACGTCGATTAATTTGTGCATGAAATCAACAAACTTCTCTGTCTGGTCACTGTAGGAACACTGCTTTACAATCTGACGTTTGTAGAAAAAAAGGCCCCGGAGAACTTCTAGGCTGAAAAGATGGAAAGCAAGGTTAACCTTCATTTTTTCAAAATTGTTTGGGTGTACATGCACATCTGTGATTTTGGGCATCACCTTGAGCGTAGTTGCACATTTGTCTAGTTCATGGGCTATTTCAATTGGCGTCACATCTACATGACCACGCGGCGTCTTATATCCTGTCTTTATGAAGCCATTCCGGATGCACTTCACTAGGTGCGGGAAGTCTGAGAAAAAAAATAGACGCCTGTTATCTCCAACTGGGTGAGCCGCAGACGGCTTAATTGCAGTTGCAGACCCAGAAATGCCGAACTGCCGCCACATCGCACGATTCCATGACGCTCCGTCACAAGTTACGTAGTCCACCCTGAGGCCAGCATTCTCGGCAAGAAGAGTGGCTTCTAGAATGATCTTCGAAAGCAGTGGTGCCTTCACATTTCCCCGGGATGCAAATACACCAAGAATCTGGTGCCACGACCCTGAAAGTGGCTGGAAAAGGATCACCAAACCGTGGCCGCATGCAACTGTTTTTTTCGGGCTCAGGAGTGAAAGGACCCAGGTCGACGAAGCCGTCAATTTTACCCGAGCCACCTTTCACAGCAAAATTCTCAGCCAACTTCATCTCATCGATGATGAGTCCACCGTGACACTCAAATTCAGTCATTTTTTCAGTTTTTTTGGCAATTCCTGAAAGCACATTGCGATTAAAACCAAACGTGCTCTCGTACTGCTTCATGTACTTTTTGAGGCAGCTGCGACTTGGTAGCGCCAAGATTTTTTCTCTACGTATATGCTCATAGAGCCGTGGGCTCTTTATGCGCATAATGATGCATTCAAGGAGCCATTCAGGGTTATACCGCATCCCCTTTGGAGATTTTCGTGTCGCAGCCTCAAAACACTGAATAATGGCAGCCTTCTGCTTAGGTGGAAGCTGACCAATTTTCTTCAGGAGGGTGGTTTCTTCAATTGCCTCATTTTCTTCCTTCATTTGGGAGATCACTTGCTCTAGCGACTTCACCTTGGTTCTAAGGCGTCGCACTGCCTGAGTCTTCACTCTCAGCTTTGATGAGGTATTTCTTCTAGTCTTCTTCGTTTGCTTCGCTCGGCACCTTTGGTTAATTAGGAGTCTCCTCAGATACTTGCACGACAAGCACCATTTCTCACTCTGGCTTGATACACCTTTACACCTAATGTGGTACAGAGTATCATTCCATTGCTTCGAATTTGCGTTGGAGCACGCTAGCGGAAACTCCGCACTCAGTCCTGCTCCAGTGCAAGCACGCAGGCTGTCGACCTCTTGCAAAATAGATGCTGGAACTCTTGGCACATCAAGCGCGACCTCGACACCCCGCACAAACACTTCATGTTTTACCACACTTTCGATGCATCTAAACACCACCATTTTCAGCGCATGAAGCAGGCTCATGTCTTTTCCAGGTAAACACACGCTGTAGGCCACGTGAAGGGGATTCTCGCTGAACACGTGCTTCGCCCACTGGTTGGTCGGAAGTGGCACATTCAGGACTTCTAGAACATGTGCAGCTGGAGCATCAACAGTAGCACAGACTTCTTCAGCTTCAACAACTTCAGAATTTGGGCAACACGTTCCGTCCATGCGACGTCTTCTTTTGGGCGACGAGGGCTGTGATGCTGGCTTCTCCCGTGCACTTCTTTTCTTCGGAACTGGCTTCGAGAGGTATTTGGGCAAATTGGGAAATATAGTCGGTACAGCGTTTGGCAGGAGAACCGGCCTGGTCCGATCAATGCGCACCAATTCACCTTGTATTACATGCTCAAAATGCCGCGACACAAACTGCGGATCAAAATGCAATTCACATACTGCTGCATTTTTCTCCAGCGGCTTGTCAGCTCTGGGTATGTACCGCTGCCACTTCAGAAACAGCTCCACTTCTTTAGGCACGCCGAACAGTGAAAGTTTTTGCTTGCAGGATTTGTAGCCAGTCACGCAGCCGGGAACAAAACAGTGGCTTTGTCGCCGGCACATTTTACAAGCCTGGGCAGCGAATTGCCCCACATCCAAGTGGAAACTCCTCTAGGATGCTTACAAAGCGCTGCGAAGGCAGCTAACCGTGTCGACAAAGAGTTTCACTCGTATTAAGCACTTTACGGGCACGTCGAAGCTCAACTGATCATTCCTGACCGGACAAATGCCCGCGAGCTTGACGTGTACGCGACAGCGAGCGCCACCTAGCGGATGCATAGCTAAGCGGCGTCAGCCCTTCCCATAGACGCCGCTTGGCGGTAATCACACTTCTCCTTCTAGCCACTGTAACACGGAGGAAGGAAAAACCTTTTCCTTCCTCCGTGGCGGCTTCACAACGAGTGACGTCAGGGCCTCTCCTTACCTTTTCCTTCCTCCGTGGGTAAAAACCACGAAGGATTAAAATCACGGTGGTAAAAACCAACGTTTCTAGACTAGGTAAGTTGCAAACTTCCTCCGTGGTTGCAAAACTCTCCCGCGTCAGACTACTCGTCAGTCGTCACACGGCGCCGGGACAGCTTCCGGTTTGGTGGCACTGGCGGCGCAGCAAGCTTTCGCTAGCAGACGAAAACGCGTAGCCGTCGTGGTAAGACGCCGTGGCGGCCGTTCTGAAAGAGCTTTGCCAACAGTATATTATCGAGATTTGTTGTGCTGCCACAGAAACTTAATACTGCGTAACATTTAGTGGTGTAAGGCAAATACAGTATAATTATGGTTTTCTAAACTGCCCACAATAAACAATGCTTGATATATATATAGCATAATATACGAGTCTGTCGGTTAGTTGCTAGTTGGTGTACGTTCGCTATAGATTTTTAGA